AATTCTGTTGCACAGCTAAATGAAGAGGTGTGTCACCATTGTAGTCAGCAATATTTGGATTTGCTTCTCGTGATAGTAGTGCTACTGCACATTCTAATCTATTGCGTAGAACCATAACATGCAATGCAGTACGTCCTTCAAAGTTGAAAGCATCTATATCGCAACCCATTCCAATTAAAGTTTCAATAACTTCTCTAGAACAACACCAATGAAGAGGTGTTCCTCCAAGTTTCATGTCATCGGGATATAGTTTATTTGAGTTATTCTGGAGAAAATCTCCTACATATCCTGAAATAGTAAGGCCAATATTAGAATGTAAAATTTGTATTTAATTTGATAGTTTCTATAGTTTTGATATTTATTTGCAAACCATGTTGATGTGATAATAAAATATATACATATGATATATAATTTAATATGATTACTCTAAACACTTTAGGATCTACTTTGTTTTTTTAATATGTAGATCTGTATATGTAATATAGGTAATCTTGGATAAAAAAATACAAAAAATTTATTTTTAATTTGATAATTTTTGATGTAAAATATATTAACACTTTGAATACTTTTTTAAAATACCTGGAGTTGAAGATTCCAGTGGTATGTCAGTGCGGGATGCAGCTATATTAACATCAGCCCCTGCTAATAAGAGTGCTTTGACACAATCTGGTTTATTGGCAAGACAAGCAACATGTAAAGGTGTATGCCCTATAGCGTTTCTTGAATTTAAACACCTTGGAGCTTCATCACTCAAAGCCTTTTTATATAATTAAAATTAGAACATCAAACATAATACTTTGTCGGCAAAAATGGTAATAAATGATAAAATGACAAACTATAAAATATTTACTTCATTTAGTTCATTTTATTATATGAATATTATATTTATAATCTATAAAATATTTTACTTTACCATAATAATGTCTTTGTTAGTCCCAGCAGCATAATGAAATACTGTATTAGCTTCATTGTCCAGATGCTCCAGGGAACTCTTAGCAGATATTAACATTTGAACAGTTTTCAAATTATTGGTTTTAATAGCTACCTAAAATAATTATTAACCAAATAATCCAAATAAATGATTGCAATGAGAATATTACGATTCAAACCTGTAATGGTGACATTCCTGTTTCATCTGAGGTATTAAGATGTGAATTTATTAAATGATTAGTAAATGTTTCATGACATCCAAAATAAGCTGCCAAGTGAGCCAGAGTCCAGGACGGATGCTCAGTTAAGGCATCACATATTTTCTGAATTCCTTGTAAGTGACACATCTAAAATATTTATACTTTACATTTTCACAGCAAATCATAGAAAATGGAGAGAAAGTTGTATTAACTGTTTTCATTAATTCATTGCATATTTGCTTTTTTAGTATTTGGTTGCAAATAATTATTAAGCAAAAGTAGTTTTATATCTGTTAAATTTGATACATACACTTTTGGCGATATCTATAAAAATTGGTAGTTTATCTTTATAGCACAAGAACTGTTGATCAGCTTCATCTCTTTTATCTGATCGAAAAACACTACAAAAATAATCTAATTATTAAAACCATTAACAAATGCTAATTTAAGTAAAAATAAACAAGCAAAGTAAACAAACCTATAAGACTGATGTAATGTTTCTGTACATGGTCTGTGCAGTACTATTTCGTATGATTTTTGATTTTTATTTCGATCTGAAGCTGGAGGTCCATACAAAACGATAGCATCTTCCCTTGTAAGAACATTTCTGGAAGTGTATTGCTCAGGACTAACAGCCAAAATTTTTGTAGGTGATGCAACCCCACTCAGGAATCCTCCAAAAACTAAACCAGATGTCAAAGCACCAAAATCAAGCCAATCCATTTTGATTACTTTTTTCTAAATTAATGTTTGACATGCATAGTTTTAAAACAATTATGGTTTAAAAATCACAACATAATTAGGAAATTGAAAGGTGTTTTATAATATTAAATAATTCGCTGTATGCTGATCTGTAACAAGATGGATGATTCACCTTTAAACATGACGTTATTAATGTTTCATAAGCTAAAAAAAATTATTACACAAATCTTCCCATACAACTCAATACATGATAACCGGTGACAGCAGATTTGACAGTTCGCAACTAGCTTCGGCTAACACCGTTAACAGGTGCAACAACCTTCTTTTTCAATTTAAATTTATTGAAATAAATTGATTGTTTTTGCTCGTGACAGTTGCGTTTGTTTATAATAAAATATTTTCACTTGAAATTAGCCGAAATTAGTTTGCATAAAGTAATATTATAAGGTTTCACTAAGGTTTTTACAATTATTTCGATAGTAATAAAATATATTCATTTTTAATTATTCACAACTAATTACATCATTTAGCATAATATAAACCTTCTATAAGTGATTCAACCAACTGAAGACAAATCAAAGTTAATATGTAAAATTATTTGATAAGTTCGATAGCATCAAGGATATTTTTTCAACGAGTGTCTTGTAAATAAAAGCTCTGTCTAAAATACATGGAAATTAATTTAGATTGTAGAATATCTTAAAAAAAGCATATAGCTGCCAAACACAGATAAACTAAGTTGAAGTTAGTAGACTTAAAGGGGCTCATTGGCTAAGGGGCTCATTAAATTAAGTCTAAACGATAAAGGGTATGGGTGTATTTCCACAAGATCGACCCTGGTAATTAAATTCTAAAGGTTTTTCAATTTCCTTTATCATCTTTTGGCCATGATAACTGAAAATACGCGAAAGTGGCCCTTCTTATCGAACTCACTTTTTGTCGTAAGTGTAATGGACCACGAAAAACAATTGACGTGGTTATATTCACACTGGTTTAGGTAATATTATTTATAACAATTAATTATTAAGAACTATTTGTTTAAGTGTGTGAAATAGTGTAATTTATTTTGTGTTCTGTATTTTTGGCAGTGCGATTGTTAAGACTAATTTTTAATTGGCATCCCTAGAAAATCTATAGATTACCTTAAGTATTATGTATAAATATCACAACTAACTTTCTAGAACAAATATTTAGTCATGATCTAGATCATAGGTTCTCAAACTTTTTTGTGTCCTCTTGGGGCAACCTCTTGGGCTTTGCCATGGAACACCACTTAATTTCTAACTGTATTATAGTTTCTTCCTACTCCCTTCCAATAATGTCCAGTTCACATGTTTTTATAGTTGGAAGATCACTAATTGAAAGTATTGAATGTTTTTTTGATCATTAGTATCCAGAAATACGACAGTCTCAAAAAGTGCTAAAAATATTGCCAAGCCTTTCGTTGTCTATTGTCTGACCAAGACTATTGTCAGCAAATTGGGTCTTTACAGGATCAACCATATAGAATATAATACATAAATAAATATTAACATGATGTCATGGACCGCTCAGGTTCCACTTTGGGAATCACTGATCTAGATAATCATCTAAAGCCCAATCAGGTTCAATTAACCAACCAAATTTTGTAACTAACTTGTAGTTGAAAAATACCTTGAATTTGGTTTGAATTCTTAAGAATTTTCTTTATAATAAACTTTAGTAAAACATATCGTTTTTAGTGTATCTATTCAAGTCAAGTCCTTTCGGCATCGCCTGGTTTATTTACTTCTTTGGCTTCAAATTACAATTTTCATTATACTTTAACATGTACTTTGCTAGGCTACAAATACTGTTCACAATTATTTTTAACTTCTTGTGATTTAAGTAAACATACTACAATTGTAGTAAATTTTTTATATATCTTTATGTTTCAGAATCTTCTGAACATTTTGGCATACCTTAGAAAAAATGGATGTATGTGCGTATGTTTGGATACAATTTTTTTGTCCACGATTTCGAGAGCACGGATCAATCAACTTGAATGATTCAAAAAACATTCGATTGATATTGATGGGAAGACGTGCTTATTAGCTTCAAAGGTAGGTCCTACCGTTTCGTCGTTACAGTGCAAAAAGTGCCAAGAATGGCAATTTTGGGAAAACGGAGAATACGATGTAAATGATTCGAAAAACGTTTCATTTGTATTGACGATATGAAGAACTGGTAAAGTTTTTGGAAAGGCAGGTCCAGCGGTGTTGAAAATCCAATAAAAAAGTTAAAAAAATGGCGGTTAGAAATGATCATAAAAAATAACAAATTCAAGACATTACTATTAAGAACTGCTGCAAATACTTTCAAGCTCAGTATTTTAAAAACAGGCTTCGAAATTATGAAGTCAAATATCGTGTTTGAACGAGCAAAAAAACTAATTTCCATGGATGATATAAAATATACGAATATAAATTCAAATATTTAAATATTTAAAGGCGCTTGTTAAATAAAGATGTGACAAGGCCATGAAGCCGTATCCTTTTATCAATAAACACGAATTATTGTAAATTTATAATAAGGCAAATTTCATGAATTTATTATAAACTCAATTACAAAGTGGTTAAAATAGTCGTTATTTGAAAGCTCGTCCGTTCCGCCATCGAGTCCCACCAGGCGGACCCCTTCTTCAGCCGCTTCTTACTTCTTCTGAAGAAGTTACCTCTTTAACAGTTGCTACTTGTTATACCATCAGATAACTTCTCTTAAGTTGCCCGATATATATTTTTAAGCCGGTTTTACGCTGATATTTTAAAAATTTATTATTATAATCTTGAGAACCAAAACTTTATAAATATTTTTAACTCTTGTTTGACGATATAATTAATTAAAAGTAAAATTAATTGTGGTTAAGCACAAGCAGAAAAGTTGGGTATAAAGACTTTAGTATTTACAAGTATATAATATGTAACTAACATATTAATTATTAGTTCTGCATTGCTCGTAAGGCAGTTACAAATATTTATTGGCAATGGATTACAATTTTTGAGTGACTAAGTGGCATAAAAAGTGGATATACCATTTTTTGATAAATATTTGTTAGTGAATAAGAATTAGTCAACTTTTAGTGAAAAACTCGTATTACACATATTTAATTCAATGTGCAAGTTTAAGCTACATCCGACTACAAATATAATGATGGTTTTCTCACACAGTCTTATTTTGGGATTGATCTTAATTCAAATGGTGAGTAATCTTAAAAGCATTAATTATTTGGTTTGAACTTGCTTATCAAACTAAACTAAAAGTGATTAAAGCTTATAAAACTTCAGTCCTTTATTTAAGTTAATAATTGGATTTTTTGAGCTATTTCTTAATGCAAAAAAGAATCCAAATTCAAGATCAAATAAGTTCCAATTTAAGCAAGTTTATACAGAGTTTATATACTTGAAGTATTTGAAAGTTTTTCTACTTTTGAATATTTGAATATATATTTTTCGTTAAAAATAATACGTGCTTTATTTAAATTCATACCGACAAATTTTGGATTCACAAGATAATTTGAAAATTTTAAAACGTGCTTTATTAAAAATTACTAGGAGCTATTTGCTTATTACAATTGCATAAATTATAATAAACACAAGATATTTAAGTCGTTCATAATGATACTCTGAAAATTGGCAAACTAAATAAAATAATATATTTTTCAATAAATTTTATGAATTTTAATTTTATATACTTAATAATTTTATATACTTTCATGAATTTTATGTTAATTAAAAAAGAATACAATTTCGAATCAAAACTTAAGCATAACATTTTTGAGTAAGTTGGTATTTTATACATTCTTACCTAAGTCACTATTAAATTATTTTATATCCAAGTTTTAAATATTTCTTGTACCTATTTACATAAATATACCGGTATGTCTAGTTCTTGATGAAAGTCTAAGTATAATTTTTATATCTGAGATCATTGATTTATCAAAATAATATTTATATTAAATTTCTGAATTGCCTTGATTAATTAAAAGAAAAGTTATCAATAATTAGACAGAAAATGTAGTTTTTTGAGCAGTACTTAAGATAAAAAATTGGACCAATTTTAAACAACCCTGATATCGAAAATTAGCGATGTCAATCTTCACTTGACAATATAGATCTTAACCCTTTTCACTCGCGAATTGCGAGATTTATCCGTATTTTGCCGCCGGAGCGGCGGCATCCGAATCGAAAGGGTTAAATACGTTTCTATATGTACCCCTAGTCAATGGAGCGTTTTGCGTCTGAATTTTTTTACTGTACTCCTTGCATAAAATTTTGGAATTAGGTTTATCTTACCCTCAAGTTCAAAAGTGAAAACAATTTGGACTCTGCTGCCACCCCCGGGAAGGTTGACATCCCTTCTTAGTGGTGTAATTTTATTTTTTATTTATTTAACTTCCCGTAGGGTTAGTTATTTTTATTAATAATCGATGGAAGAACTGATTATAAAAAAATAATGTTTCATAAAGTTTTTCAATAAAACAAATACTTTTCAAGTTACTGGCTACTACGTATTTGATTCTTTTTCGTGTTTTTCATCGTTTTTTGCAAAAATATACTTTTTAGCAAAAATCATGTAATGAACAAAATTATGTAAAATCTTATATAATAAATGGGTGTTTCATAAGTCGTTTAGTCCTTATAGAGCCAGCCCTATTAGATAAAATTTTATTAATGAAGTAATCAAATATGGATGGATAAACCGTTGGCTTAACATCTAAAAATACAACGTAAGGAAGTTTTAGCTCAACAGCTTATAGCAAGAGAAATATTTTGAACAAATGGGCAGATTGGATCATATTTCTCATTACATCAATGTGGTATTATATATAATTGCTTTACATTTACTTTACTCCATTCTCAATCGTGTATAGTTTCTTAGATTGTTTTTGAGTACAAGATATTCATACTTGCAAACTTCATACAATGCAAAGTTTAAAAATTTAATTCAAATAATCAGTGCTATATGCATAATGCACATTAGATTCAAAAGAAAGCATTTTATGAATTTTTGACTTGGTCTAAAATTCAAAAATTAAAATTTTTGTATATCATTTCATACACTAGAGAAAATGGATGTGTGTATGTAGTATATATGTATGTATGATTACAATTTTTCGTCGATACTTTCGGGAACGCCGCTCAACCGATTTGAATTATTCAAAAACCATTCGATTCCTATTGATAATTAGTTGCTGAATAGTTTTTGCCAAAATTTGGTTCAGCCGTTTTGCAGATACGGAGCCAAGAATAAAGAATTGATTAAGTTTTTGCAAAGCCAGGACCAGTAATTTCGGAGATCCAGAAAAAAAGTTAATAAAACGCCATTTGGCGGTCGAAAATCAGATATTTTGTAATTTGAACCTACCGGTGTGATTTTGCCTTAAGGCACGTTGCCATGCACCATCAGTGTCTTTTAATTTCAAACTATTGAGAATGACAATACAAAGAACTGCTATAGTACCAATTCTAGAAAAAGCATTCATTGTGGAACATAAATGAAAAATAAATGTGAACGACAAAGAAAATCAAATATGTCATTTAGTGTTTTTGCTGATTAAGTAAGTAAAGTAAAGTTCTATCAAATCCACCTGCCGATTCAGGCGAGCGCGTTCTTTCGGAGAGCGATCCGTTCCGGTGTAACGAAACCGTTCGCTTCCTCGAGCAAATACGCCGAGACACACATCACCATTATTGTTGTCATACTATTTTATTCAACAGAACGACTGAACAATATGAGTTGGAATAAAATAAGGAACAAGTGAACGACCCGAGTCTATGTCTATCAGTTTGGACGGCATGCTCTACTACCCGTCTCATAGAAAAAATTAGAGTCACACGACTTCAAATTTCCCACTGATGTACTATCAGAGAAAAACATTCGGGCGAAAGTGCTAAGGCGAAATGATTACAGTCAGGTACTCTAAAAATTTTCAGGCTAAAAAATCATTTCGGCCTAAAGAATAAGACATTAAATTAAGGATAATTCTCGCATATCGATGTTTTAAATTAGGCCCAAAGCAAGCCATTAAATATACTCAAATACCACTCAATGATTATGTAGCTATAGACGATTGGTAAAGTAGAACTTCGTTTTTCTATTAAAATGTTGATTACAATTATCATAAAGGGAAATATGTTCCAATTATTATAATGCAAAATTATTTTTTTGACTATTTGAAAGCAACTTTGTACGATAATAGAGGGGCCGTTCAAGTATTACGTAAGCACTATAGGGGGCGGAGGGTTATTGATTTGCTTATTTTGGGTTGACATGGGGGGCAGGGGAGTCTGGATGATGATTACGTCATAGGTAGTATTTTTATTTTTTAGATAAAATAATCACAAAATATTACGCGGGGAGGGAGGAGTATAGTAAGATATCACGTATATTTAGTTTTTACCTGATTTTTTTTTTAATCCAAATATTTTCAAAAAAAAATCAAAAATCTTACAATTTTGTCTCGTAACTAAAAATACATGTAACGTCTGATGGCGGAGGAGGGTAATTTTGAATATCACCACGTATCACCAAGGGGGAGGGGAGTCCAATAATCCTTAAAAAATCGATCACGTGATTAATGGACGTGGAGTAATGGATTAATGCCCCCTTAACAAATTGTCTTAATCAACATAGGTCTACAAAAAGTGGTATAATTCTACAAATTCATCAAAGCCTTAAATTTATCATGACAATTTTAAAAGTAAAAATACACATTTAGGAAAGTTTTTGTAATCTTTCCTGGGGCAAAACACCACTTACACCTAGTTTTTAATATTAAAATTGTTAGCTATTAGTACAAAGAATATTAGTAGAAATATTTGTTACAAAAATAAATATTTCTTGATATGAAATTCCTAAAGTACAATTTTTGCATCAGAGATTATTGATTTATTGTTCATACAATATTTCTGATTCAACTAATTAAGAAAAAAAGTCTATTGTCGATAAATAGACAGAAGAGGCAAAATAATAAAATGTAGGTAAAATTCAATATATTTTTAAACAGTTAAATTTAAGATAAGAGTGATATTTTTCATAAAAAACGCATTATTGAAATATTAATAATTTAATAAAATTTTAACTAATTCAACATTTCACAACAATTTAAAGTATCATAAATTTTGATTTTGCTCAGAATTTTGAGTTTAATCCTGTAAAACTAATAAATTATTAGTTTACTAATGAGTGTCTACTATTTATATTTTAATCATTTAAATGCAAAGGATAGGAAAGGATGAAAGATAATTATATTTTCTGTATCAAATTATTACTAATGATATTTTATATTACAAAAAATCAATTTACAATAAAATAATTAGAACAAATGGATGATAAATAAATATAATAAAAGGAATCCATAACAATATTAATATATTTCAATTCATGCACATAAATAATTAAAATATAAATAGTTATAGAAATTCTTCTTATAATCTTCTTAAATTGTGCAATAGAACTAATTATTCAGAAGATGCATATCGATCATATTTCAAAAATCTTAGTCTCTTTTATAAAGATGAAGTGTAAAATGTAACCCATAAAATGTCCATTATAAATAAAATTGTTCTTGTGATTGAAATAATATAAAAAATCGTTCGTTAATCTACTTTTTATAATAGCACTATCAAATGAATCCGTGGGATATAACGGTTCTAAGAATTGTGATTTTTATAAAATACGCTTTGAAACAATAGTACAAATAGTAGTATTTTATATCGATTATCTGTAAAGAAGTAAAAACATTAAATGTAGAGTAATGATAAAAAAAAGATTCATTACTGTAAGATAGATGGCAATATGACGTGATTTAATGGTCTCTAGCTCTGAGTTCAATAAAAATGAATTACACTGTTTGGTTGTAAGACTCTTTCATTGATACAAAAAAATAAAATAGCCCTTTTAAAAAAAAATAAACTGTTTAAATACACTAATTGCAAACGCAAATAGATAAATTTATGGCTGTATTATTATTTATAACAAAATTTTACTTGGTTTCTTTAAATCAAAGACTTTAAAAATGATTTATGAAAATTTACAGCTCATAAAGCATTTATTAAATTCAGGCTTATTATTATAATGTGAAAAGTACATATGCTTATTGTAATATTATAACTGCAAAATTTACAAAACGTAATTAATTTTCTTGGTGATATTCTGAAGTAAAACAATGCTAAAATAAATCATAATAATTTATTGTT